ACTAAATTTATATATAATATATATAAATAAATATATATAAATATATTTTATTGTTTTTATCATAAAATATATCAAAATAAAATTTTATTTAATTTTAATTTTCATCAGAGAAAAATTAATGAATTAATATAATATGATAATGGTATTAATTACGATTTTCCTATTATCTTCAATGTTTTTTCAAATATAAATGCTTAATATAAAGAATTATTTGTAAATATAATTAAAATTTTTGTTTCTTTAATATAATTACTATATTAAGGATAAATAATTTTTTATTTTCAATTTATAAAAAAAAAATAAAAAAAAGAATAAAAAAAAAAATTAAAAATTCAAATTATTGTTCATTGAAATTATATAAAAACTTATCTAATGATTATTTGGCAGAATGAATTGCACAAGAAATTAGAGTTTACAAACGACGCAAGAAAGTGTTGTAACCTTGATTTGTTTTCATCACAAGAAAAATCGTCAAAGCAACACGGTCATTTTCACTCTTACTATTGATAGTCCTATTTTCTATTTATCTTTTTCCTTTTACTTTTCTCGTAACAGTCTTGCTACTTAGGAAATAAATATATACATGGATATATAAATGTATATATATATTTAACCATTCATGCAATTATTCAATGAGTGAAATTATAATCGATTAACTTGATATGTTTAGCAAATTATTCATTCTAAACAATTCTTATGTATATATATATATCTTAAAAATCTAAGTATATTTTAAATTATCGATTATGCATATTAGTTTTCAAAAAGTTTTGTTAATTTTATTAATGATTATTTATAAGATTTACGTAATATATAATTAATATAATATGAAAAGAAATATATTTTTTAAATTTTCTTTTCTAAAATATAATTATTGATTTTTATTTTATAATAAGATTATAAAATTTTAATTAAATTATTGGATATTTTTTTATATACCAATCAATATATTAACAATATTCGTTTATATTATTAAGGAAAAAATATTTTATAAGTGTATGTAAAATTTTTATATATATTACAATAATTTTGAAAAAGATTGAAAATTGTATTATTTTATCAAGAAGTATACTTTAATGTAAGTATACTATGTTATATATTATATATATAATATATATTATAATATTATATAATTTTAAATATTAATATTAAAATATTAATAGAACATAGTGGAATTTCATTAAAATAACAGTAATATAATATAATATTATATAAAAAAATTAATAGCTTTATAGCAGTAATAATATAATATATATTAATATAAAATTATATAAAATTAATATATTAATATATTATATAAAATTAATTGTGTTAATTACTTTTTTGTAATAAGTTTTTTTATTAGAATTACATATTTTACATATTTTATTAGAATTATATATTCATTATTATTTATCTTACGAAACGTGATTTTATTTTTTGATTTTTTATATTTTGTATAGATAATCATTATTAAATAAATAAAATCATTAACTTTTTTATTGTCGAATGTCAAACTATTTTTTCTAAATAATTTCAATTGTGTTAGAAAAAAAATTTATAGTTTTTTTATATTCTAAAAATACTATATAATACTAATACTGTAAATGTAATACTAAATCTAACAAATTTACACATCTTTGAAATATTTACAGCTGTCCTTCTAAAAAAAAAATTTTCTAAATTCCTTTTTTGCATATTTTCGTTGTATCGAATATTGATAATTTGATTTTTAAGGAAGATTATTCTTCTTTGCAATTTATATTTACTCATGTGATAATTTTAAATATTGAAAAATTAGTAACGAAACATTATTAAAAAAAATTATATAAGATAATTGAATCTCGCACAATTGAATCTAGTTTTTAAATGATAGATAAAATAACTTTAATGAAATTCATTTAAAACATAAAATTAAATAGTTTTGAATAATACATTATATGATATATGTCATTATATGCTTGATTCAAAAATGGAAAAATTTCAAAGTTATCTTTGTTTTTTAAATGAAATTATATATATTTTTATATGCTAATTAAAATATTCATTTATTCTTTATAAGAGAGTATTAATTTTTGATATATACTTATGTCAAAAATCAATTAACTAATTTAATTTCATATACTTATGAAAAACAAGAAAAACATATTACTTTCTTTCTTTTTTTATATTTTACATGCTAAAATTTACAAACTTAGAATTAAAATATTTTTTAAACTAATTAATTTTCGACGATGAATATATTAATATCAATATAAAACATTTTTCAGGAAATAGAAGATCACATTGATTGGCATATAAAATCCAATAATTCCATTAAAAAATTAAAAATAATCTTAGAATCATCAAAATATATTCATTATAGTGCATATAATGCATCATTCGAAATTATTTAATTTTGTCTAATGAAATTTAATTTTATTTTTTATTTCTTTAAGCTGTGCATAGACTTAATGAAACAGTTTGTGTAAAGTAAGTGCTTATTAAATATATTTACTGTCATGATAAATTACTATATAAATTTTTTTATATATTCTTTCTAAATTTTTTGCAACGATAAAAAAAAATTACTTAAAATTATAAAATTTTTTATTATAATTCATCTCTTAAAAAACAACATTATATTTACAAGTATTGTAAATAATTATTTTAATAAAAAAAAAATTAATTTCTTCTTCATGAAGAATTTGCTCTTTAATACTTATATTTTTGTACATTTTTCTTCTTATCTTTAAAAATTCTTATTTTTAGTAAATCTTAAATTATTTTACTTGTAAAGTTTCTTCAATGAATTTAAATATTAATATTTCATTAATATTAATATATTATTGATAAAAAATGTTATTATTAATTAAATTAAATGTTATTAAATTTGTTCTAATAAAAATTCTAATAATCAAT